CTACATTGTCACTTTCATGGGCCCTAGGCACTTTCACCTTCGTGGACTCATTCATCCACAGAAAAGTATTAAAAATTACATTTTATAACTGCATTCGTACATAGTTGAATACAATCGTGGCTAGATATAATGTTATATATTCATTGCTATTATAGTCATGTTAATATTCTGTTCTTAAAAGGAATTAAAATTAAAATATTTTTGTGGGTCCCTAGAAGTATCATGGTCCGTAGGTACAGTGCCTACTGTACCTAATGGATGAGTTGGTCCCTAGGGAGGTGGTTTTTCTGGTAGCAGCGCAGGCGCCCTGGCAGGGAAGTAAATGCTGCTGCTGCCTAGGGAGACTAGTAACTTGAAGGTGTTGCTCTGAGATCGCCCCCGCTGGCCATCTGTGGGTACTGCAGGGCAAGCTTGAGGGCTCATGGAGACCTCCAAGGGGGACTGCCTGCGGTTTTTTCTGCCCTGGTGTCTTGGCAGGCAGCAGGCTAGCAGCTGGGGTTCCCCTGGGGACTCGATCTTCTATTCGTGATTCTTTTGAATCTCAGCTCTATTGAATGAGATTTTGTGAAACTAGACTCTCCACTCTTCGAAGCACTGGCAACATTACTTATTGTCGGTAAAACGGAGAACTAACTGTTACTTAGAACATAGACTTATTCCGTGCTGTCACAGAGAAGGAAACCAAAACAGAGAAGTTATCTAAAGCTAAGGTGGTAGATAGAGCTGGCTTCCTTAGCCTCATAGAATTCTATTTGTATTTCTTATGATTAGGGGTAGCCTCTTATATAACTACAGAGCAATTATCAACTCTATACATTTACATGGATACAGTACTTCTTCCTATATGTCAGATGATATAATCATGTGCTTTACAGAGTTTCTCACCTGCGTTACAGGTTCCTGCCTAGGCTCAGGTGTGTCAGGAAGCTGTCAGGTCTCATTTGCCTCCTTTAATCTGGAACATTTCCATAGGCTTTTGCCTCCTTTTATTCTCAAAAAGGTTTCTGTGTTTCTGTGTGTGTGTGTGGATGGGGGTTGGATCGTTGGGTGTTAAAATGTCAAGGTGTATGTATGTGTTGGAAGTGTTGTGCAGTGTGTTTGTGAGAGTATCGGTATGTTGTGTCCCTAGGTGTGTAAGAGTGTGTGTGTGGGTTTGAGTGTAGTTTGTGTGTATGTGAAGTTGTATAGAATGAATGTGGTGTGAGTTTGTGGGTATATGTGTAGGTGTCAGGGTGTGTCTGAAATGTGTATGTGTGTCTGGGTGTGTGTGGGTTTGTGGGGGATTTATGAGTGTGGGATGTTTCTTCTGTGTGGGATATATCAGTAGAGTTGAGTATGGGGATTTCTAAAATGTGTGTGTGGATGTGTGTGTATGAGGAGTGTATAAAGTGTTTGTGTGTGTATGTAATTCAGGGGTGTGTATGTGTATGTATGGCTGGGCATTCATGTGTGCACGGGTGTTGTGAGTGGGCATGTGCAGGTTTATATGTGAGTGTAGGGGTATAGTGTCAGTGTGGTTGTGTGGGTGTTTGTGGCAGTGTGTTTGTGTACATTTATGTAAATGGAAATTTTATTTATTCTGTTTAATTTGCAAAAATTAGATTAATACTGGTTAAAATATGTTTTAAGCAACATAAAAGGAAATAATGTTTTATTGACTCATTATTTCCAAGAGAAGTGTGCAACTATAACAAGGTCTTAGGTGCAAGAATTAGACCGAAGAGTAGAAGCAGTTTACAAATAAAAGGAATGTAATGCTTATGCAATCCCTCAATGTTGTAACTTTAAAAATTTCAAAAACATTTTAGTTGGTAATAATTTACAGAAAAGTAGAAAATGTACAAAAAAACTTTCATATTCTCTATTCCCAGGGTCACCTACATTTTGCCTAAATTGTTTCTCTCTTTCTCTTTCCCTCCCTATCTCTTCCTCCCTCTCTGTCTCTGTCTCTCTCAGTGGTTCCTATGTCCCCAGGGTTTGGGTTTTA